TTTTCAGAGTGAATCAGTCCACTGTGATACTGCCTCAAATATTTTTTTTCTAATAAGAGTGCCATTCATTTTCAAAGCTTACCTCTCTTGAAAGACTCAGCCTCCCCATCAAGTTGCAAATCTCAGTGAGCACATAAATAACAGAAGACAGACAAGCATGGAAAATCCTAACCCTCCACTGAAGCTTGTCTGTGGCATACGCTTACCGAAATACACCCTGTGACACTGAGTGGTGTGTGGGCCCAGCATAGAAGACAGCCGAAAGACAGAATCATACATTGTGACATCAGTGACTACAATTTATTTTTAGATTATTACAGTACAAATCTGAGCATTCCTGGCTAGGGATCGTCCCAAGATGTGGTCATGCATTCAGTTTGAATTAGCTGTGCCGCTGGCAAAACCCTGCTGCAGATCTCACAGGAAAAGCCAGTGTTCCACAAGCGCTCCTGCTATTCAGATCCTCATGTGAGCTATGCATGTAAGCCGTAAAGTAACCCTGTTTCACATACAGTTTATTTTCAATGTCAAAATTCATCCCCCGTTATGTTACATGAGTTAAAGAAGGATGAGTTTGCCAGTAACATCTCTAGAATAATTTCCTACCTTTTAAATTCAGACGCTGCAAACTGTATATAAATTGTACTTTTCAATTTTCTCTTCTCTACCCTTATATCCATTTTCAAGTTGTGAAAACTTGATTAGCATTGTGCCCTATCTCATCGTAAATAATTTTCTGAGAGTATTGTCAATAAAACTTGTTTTTCCTCCGCTAGACAGTAAGGTGACTTTTGTCTTTGGTGCTTGGGTTTTTTTTTTTTACTGAAGCTTTTTTTTTTATTTCCTATTCAAATCCAATCTGGGGACTACAAAAACAAATACAATGAGAAGCAGAGAATTATTAAAAGGTGACAGAGTTGAGTACCCTGTCTGTTGTGAGGATCTAAATGGCTCATAGCATAAATGCTTTACAAACATTGCTTGAGAGCACCTGAGTTGAACTGTGACAGAGGATTGCTGCAGCTGGACATGAGAGACTTACACTGATTTGCACAGCTCATGTTTATGTTTTGGTTTTATTAGGTTTTTTTTTTTTTAAAGACTTACAGTCTTATAATTCAGCGCACATAACTAACCAATCTTACTCATGCAGAAGAGCTCTTGAATCCCGATGACAAGTCTTCAAGTGACAGAATGACTAAATTATATGCTGGTTATAGCATGATGCTTATTCCTGTCCTACCCAGGTGGAGCTGTTCTTTACACTATGTGATTCAGCCATCAAATAGCAGCATGCGTGTTTGAAAGGCCAAGAGGAGGCTGTATCAAGAACCTGTCAAAAACAAATGTGCAAACCTCTATGCAGCAGTCAGTAAATGTTCCTTGAATCACTCTTTTGTTTAAAAAAAAGCCAAACAAATCCTTGTTTCTATACAGTATCTTTAATACAAAGCTTCAGTTAAACAGCTTTTCTTTCTGCCTCTTGCCTTCGTCTCTACATGACAGGTCTTCAGCTGAAGGATGCCTATTAAGATTGACATTTTTATCAAATGTAAAAATTGTCAGGTGAATGATCTGCCCAAGAACATTGGATTAGCTAAAAAGATAAAGTCTTTGTAAGAATAAAAAATAGATAGGATAGAGCAGCGTCTCCATCAAACCTATGGGCTTTGTCACTTGTCCTAATTTTATCTCGTTGGCCCATTTCATTCACACTTACAGGGCTTGCTTTTGTTTGCTTGCATTGTGACGGCTTTAAAAGAAATGACACTTCATCACTGACCACTGCACTTTGCCAACCAAGAAAAACACATTGGCAATTTCTGAATTTACAGTCTACATGTTTGTGATACAGCACTGTATTTTAAAACAGTACTGGGCAACTAACCACTCCCTCCAGACATGCATAAGGAATAAAATGTATTTTCCTGTCTACTCAAATATTTTCCAGTAGAGACCAAACCTAAGGGCCATTAAATTAAATTAAATAAATAATTTAAAAAAAAAAAAAAAGTTTAAATTGGCTTTGAATTAGAACCCTCTAAAGGACCAAGGCATTTCAGATGCCAAACTGAATTTCAGTTTTAATATCTGGTACAACTTAATAGGTTGTACTTGCACACAGCACACCAACAATAATTGCATCTATATGATATACAGGTATATGAATAGAGAGTGAGCAATACCAACTGGATTTATACACAATGGGGTAATAATTTCAAAATGATAAAAATTAGTAGGTCAAAATTAAATTTTATATTATTCATAGAAAATTACATGCCACCATAGATCTTAATGTTTTGAGTTACCAGAAATTGCATGGCATGTTTTCATGTTCTCAGTCTGCAATAATTGATTGGAAAGTGATTCGTAAGACAATATATGCAAACCCCTACTCAGTAGTACAAGCAAAAAAATATTTGAAATGTTCTACCATAATGCACATCTGTACAGCTGCTACCTATATAGAAGTCTACACAGGTGATATTACCAATACCAAATACATGTTTTGTAAGTAAAATGAAAACAAATGCAGGGTTCATTTGACATATGGAATCAGCTCACTTCTACAAAGCAAAGTTGTGTTCTTATCTAGGATTTAAAATTAGTGGAAATAGTTACTTCTTTTCTTAGGGTTACAGAAAAACAGTTTATTTCGCTAATGCTAACAGAGCATTTATACATCTAATAATTAATAAACTTGTGTCCCATGGGATGTGGACTATTGCCCTTCCATTTGTGAGGTACCTAAATTAGCATTTATATTTATCTTCTATGAGAAGAAAAATATCAGCGATTTCTATTTTGGTGTAACTGCTTGTGAATTCATCCAATTAATCTTTGCTTTCTGATCACCTACTTCTAAGTATATGCACATATGCCCTTAACATTATTAATCATTTCAAAACAAAAATAGGTCTAGAATTTTACAGGCGTTTGCTTTCAGCATGGATGACTAAAGAGCTCTTCTTCAACACATGGCCAAAGAGCTCATTATTTTTTTTTTTTTCCATTTTTTTTTTTTTTCTTGGTGATGGTTTGGTTTTAAATACAAAACATCTAAACTTGCACATCGGCACCTCCGCCACCCCGAGGAGAAGCAGTGCCCTCACAAACCGACATACGCAAAACGCTGGAGACGGGCACCGTGCCCCGCGGTGCGCAGGGGGCCGAGCCCCAGCCCCGCCGCCGGTTGCGGCAGACCGGCCGGCCCCGCTCTGCCCCGGCCGGCGTCCCGCGCCGGGTTAATAAAAAAAAAAAAAAAAATAAATAATAATAATAAAATATCCTATGAAACTTCCCCCGCGGGCAACGCTGCCGGCCGCGCGCGGGCGGCGGGCGCGGGACGGCCCCGCGGCGGGGGGCGCGCGGCGCTGCGGCGCGGGAGGCGGCGCGGCTGGGAGGCGCCACAGCGCCACCTGGCGGCCGCGCCCGGCCGCTGCCGCGCCCGCGGCCCCCGCAAAACTTCTCCCCCGTGTCGTGTCGTGTCGTGTCAGCCCCCCTCCGCCCCCCCCCCCCCCCCCCCCCCACGCCCCGTACGCCGAGCTCCAGAACCGGCCAAGTTTCCCGGCCGCGCCGCCATCTATTCTTAGCCCCGCTCAAGGCACGGCAGCGGGACACCAGCCCCGGCCCCCTCCCGCTCCCCGCGCCTCTCCGCAGCGGCGGCGCGCCCCGCTTGCCCCGACCCTTGCGCGCCCGTGGAAATGGGGTGTGTGAGCGGGCGCGTGGGTGGGTGGGCGCGTTGATGCCCGTCGCCCCCACTCCGCGCCCCCCCCCCCCCCCCCCCCCCCGCCGGGCGTCCCTCCGGGAGGCTGCAGCGGGGCCGCCCCCGCTCCCCGGGGCCAGGGGGGCCGGCGGCCGCCCTTCCCCTGGGCAAGGGGCAAAGCCGCGGCGGCCGCGGAGCCGCCTGACGCCGCCAGCCCCCGCCTCGCCCGCCCCAGCTTTGCAGAGAAGCAGATTTACTGTCGAGCTTGGGGTGGGGGGGGGGGGGGAGTGGGGGGGAGTGGTGGTGGTGAGTGTCTTTTTTTTTTTTTTTTTTTTCATATTCTTGCTACACACCCCCCCCCCCCCATACACACACACATCCCCCCGCCACCGCTCCGCGCACGCTGGCTCTCTCCAGTGCCCGTCCCCGCGCCATCACGTTCGGAAACCCATGCCCACCATAAAATCGGGCATTTACCCGAGCCCAGAAAAGGAAAGAAAAAGAAAAAAAAAATAAAAAGGAAAAAAAAACAAAAAAAAGGAAAAAGAAAACCCCACCACGGAATAGCTAAAACCAAAGCGGGCGAACCGCGTAATCCAAGAAGAGCCAAGATTTCCTGTGAACAGCCGCCTCCCTTGTTCCCCCCCCAACAACCCCCGTCCCCTTTTGCTTTTTTGTGGTTGTGGTGGTGGCGAGGGAAGTGGTTAACCAAAACCCAACGTGTTGGTTTTGTGTTTCCCTGAAAACCACAGGCGCACACAGAGCATGAGGTACCGCTCCTGCCCCTCTCCGCGCTTGCAGGAAACTGTGGCTTCGCTCTTTCTCTGCCTGTACTGCAGATATTTTTCCCTCCTCTCCTCCACACTCTTCTGTTTATTTGGCTGTAAGGCAGAGCTACTTTGTAAACATCTCACACAGAACCCCAGAGCCTTTCCAAATAGCTGATTGCAGCAAAATGCCTCCAAACAAATTATGGTGCAAGGGGGATATAGGGGACGAGTCCGAAGCGGATAAAAGAGAAATGAAATTTGCATAAATATGCATATGTGACAATGAGATCGCATATGATGGTGGAGATGGCAGAAAGAAAGTATCGCTTTATCATGATGGGAAAAGTAAAAGCACAGACGACTGCAGCAAACTGCTCGCCCTTTGCCAGAGTACCAACTGCAACACCTCTCCCTCTCTCCCCCACCCTCGCCGAAAAAAAAAAAAAATAAAAAAAAAGGTGGTGGTGGAAAGCAACAGAAAAAAATTAAAATGAGCACTCAAACGGCAAATCCTGTACTCCTACCTTAACACTGGAATAGCTGCAGAAGCAGTGGGGTCTTTTTTACACAGCCAGATTCTTTCAGGAAATCCTCTCGGGCTACCATTCAGCCGGGGTTATTCACACACGGTTCCTGCTCTCCTGCTCGCCTTTTTGGAATCCAACGCGATTCGCTTCTCCAAAGGAATGCAACGACCACGAAGGTTTGAAGGAGAGGGGGGTGGAGGGAGGGGGGGGGGGGGGGAAAGACGCGGCAAAAAAAAAAAAAAAAAAAAATTAAAAATAACAAGAAGAAAGACAACACTGGCTCTGAAGGAAACTCGTGTTCTCGGTTGTAAGCGACCTACATTCAGGCAGAAAATTCATTGCAATCAGTGCGAGAGGGAAGAGTTGGGTTTGCGAGTGGGAGCTGTGATTGCCTATGCAGAGAAACCGAGCCGGGGAGAGACTGATCCGCAAGGCAAGGCGAGCTGGGAGCGAGGGGGAGAGACGGGGGGGGGGGGGGGGGAAGTAAAGGCGGAGGGGGGGGGGAGAGGTCCAGGCTGTACCAGGCGCTTTCCTCCTGCTATTGGACCAAACTGAATGAAATTTCCGAAGCCGGCAGCCAATCGCTCTCCGCAGCCAGCCCCATCGCCACCGGAGCCGTATCTCCATCCCCGGCCCCGGGCGGGGAGCGCCGCATCCGTCCCCGCGCGGCGGCGGCGCCCGTGGCCGCGGCCTCTGGGCGGAACAGGTGGGAGCACGGAGAAGTAAACCTGCGTGGGGAGGGGGGGTTTGGGGAGGGGGTGGGGGGGGGTGGGTGCGTTTCTTGGGGATCACACAGGGCGGAGTGTCGCTGTCCCCGCTCCAGGAGCCCGTACGGCAAGTGCAGTCTCTGTTAACCCTTTAAAGCCGCGGTTGCTGCCGTGCCAGCCTGTTACCGGATTCACCCGCACGCATTCACATGGAGCTAACGGCGCAATTGCGACCCAATCACGGAAGCATCTTGTGCCTGTCCCCCTTCCTCCCATACAAAAATAGCAAAGTAGACAATTGACCAGTGCCCAATCGTTTAAAACGGTTTGGGGTTTGTGTTTTGTTTGTTTGTTTGTTTGTTTGTTTTTTGTTTGTTTGTTTGTTTTTTTATAAGCAGACTACTTATTTAATGTCCGTATTTTAGTTAGCTAACCACTGTTGTGAATGAAAGTCAAGTGTAAGGACTGGAGAGGGGGCCCTGTGGTTTTTGCTAAATACTACAACACAGGGTCTCACTTCCTGTGAATAATTTGAGACTGAGGGTGGTGTAGGAAATAATGTGCTCAGGCCTCCAACAGATACGCCTTGTATCACTCCACAGCATGCTCCTTTGATCAGTTAAACAACAGCACTTAGCATTACCCAGAGCACGAGACCCTATACTGAGACCAGGTGAGGACTGGCCGAGCTCTCTGAGAACAAAGCGGCAAACAAAATAAAGGGGTCTTGAAGATCTTGCCATAATTTAGAACAACATATCCATGCCTTGATGAGAATTCCTGACACAAGACTTAGATTAGATTTCATAAGTCGAGTCTTCGACATTTTCAAATGCTGCAAAAAGGAACAAATAACTCAGCATCAATTCTTTTCTAGATGCTTTGTTTCTACCACCACATCAGATCCTCAGAAGAGAGCAAGTAGTGCTTTGTTTTTTCTGATATCGGGCTTACCAATCACTTCTATGCTCTCCTGTTTCAAGTGGTAAAAGAATATATACTGTCTGATTTAAAGATGCCATCTAGATACCATCTAGCAGACAACAGTAGACCTGTTGTGTGTGTTCTAATATAGTGTTTTGTTATGTGGTATGAAGCATACTTCCTTCAATATCACCTAGGAAGACATGTTTTGGGTTTGAACACTGTAAATCTAAGTGCGGGTGTAATTCACTGACTTAAAACATTTTGAGCAATGCCATAGCTACATTAAACTGTTAACTTATTTGTCAGTGAAATAATTATTCTTATATTACTTAATTATATGTTTTGCCTTACTTATTTCAAGTGACTCTAGCAGCAGGTGTTCATGCAAGTGAATTTTACTGCTTTTGTTATTTTAATAACGCACCCAGAATGTGCAACCAATCATATTGCTTGACTGAGTGAACATTTTGACACATTTAGAAAAGATGTCATTTTGCACTGCCATCTGTCCCAAATTTTGCAGGACAGTCTTTATTTTGATGAATATGTCATGCATTTTACAAGATACATTTGGAGGATATTAGAGTGTGCAGTAGTTAATCTGAATAATGATCTCCCACCTGTGTTGTAATATCAGGAGGCAATTTATTACAGTTTATCAAAGGGTAGTCTCTAATGTTTGCAACTAATGTTTGTAACTATGAGCCAAATATTCTCAACCACAGCAATAAAGCTAAACTTTTCGTAGACTCTACACAAGTATATGATCAAAAGATTTAAGTGAAAGGTGTTTGGTCAGAACAGTGGAATGCACTTTTCTACTCTTACAGCTTTTGAAAAGCTAAGTGTACAATTAGAAGGTGTGGCTTAATTGGGAGGGTATCTGCAGCAATCCACTGCATATTTATAACAGCAAGCAGGAGTCCAGGAGCAATCATTCAGAGAGAAGAATGCCACTTGCTAAGTAACACCATCACTTCTTACAAGAAGGCATTGTAGTCTAGTATTAATCCAGCTTGACTCTACTTGTAACCAGTGAAATCTAAAGAAATCACAGTACATGACAGTCTGACTGCAGACAGGCCAAACTCTGCTGGGTTCCATCCCATGCAACCTCTTTTTGTGTCAGTCAAACTGAGGCATGATTTGGTCTCCCGTGTCCAATCTCTGTAAAATTTCCCCAAGTTCATTTCTCAATCAGATATAGTGTGTTGCATACTGATGCTTGAATTAATAGCAAGAAAGTATGACTGTTTAAAAAAAGAAAAGTGCCTCTCAAACTTTGTTTGGTTAGTTATTCATTTTAAGCAATTCATGTTCAAAATGCAAACTTGAAGCAGGACAAGAGGGGCTTTCTACAACTGCATGAACAGCAATTGACTCTTTCCCCCTCCCTGTTGTCTGTTTGGTGTTCTTACTCAAATATTTGTAATGCCCATTGCCCAAGGACTTCCATTCCCTTTTATGCAAGGCTGAGCCAGCGTGGTCCTAACACACTTTATGTGGTTGGAATGGAATGTTTCACTAGTTTCATGGTGCAAAAGGCTCATGTTCAGTGGACTGAAATCCACAATGAATCTCCTACTCAGGTCACTGGATGAGCTCACCTGCTGGGCACAAGGGTGGTAATGCACAACAGGCATCATCCTTCGTAAGACTCCAAGTAAATGAGAACTGCAGAAGAAATTCACACCAAACTGCAGAACAGAAGGGAATTAAAAGGAAAGAGAATGAGCCCACCAGGTCCACCAAGTAAACAGGAAAAATCCAGAGATTATTTTGAAACGAACATACAGAGAATTAAGATTTAGGGGAAAAATAAATGTTTCCTAGTTGAGTAGCCCCAAAATACTGTTTCCTAAATTTCTAGAAAGAAATGTGTTTCTAATATGGCTTATCTTATTGTTTGATGATAAAAGGAAAAGTTGACCTGTAACTATTTTCACAGAAAATTACAGGTTAACAAAAATACCACCCAGAAAAATCACATATATATTTTCAGATTCAAAATCTTTCATTCATAGGAAAATTAAATGCTCACTGTACTGCTGTTTATGCTACATGACAGATAAATCAGAACTATACTGTAGCGTTCCACCTGCATAGTGGATATAATTTCAGAGTAGTATACTGTGAGAGCTAATGCTCACTAGTGCTTCCCAAAGATAGAATATTTGTCATGATAATGTGCCTGACTTTTCAGTTACTTTCTCATTTCTTTCTTCTTAGCATTTTTTACTAAAACTTTTAGTGTTGCTTTTTCCTTCTGAGAAAGGTCCAAACCCAGAATATTGCAGACATAGATAATGGCACAAAATGACCACTTCACCTTTTTAGGTCTTCGAGAGCAAAACACAGGAATTCGTAGTTATACAACTTCTGAGATGCAACCTTAAACTTCATGGGGGGAGTACAGACATTGACTGTAACAGAGCCAATGTTTGAATCCTGGAAGAGTGGAAGTGGTTTCTGGGCTCTGAACTTCCTCATGTAAAGCCAAACCTAGAAGAGACCATTGCAATTATCCACAGAGATCTTTCATATTATTTAGGCTAAATGCTTGAAGAGTTTGTTTTTTTGTTGGATTTGGGGATTTTGGGGGGGGGTTTGGTCTTTTTTTTTTTTTTTTTCATAAAGTCATCTAGTTACTGTTGAACTAAAGTATGTGAGTTTTTCTGTTTCTAAAAAAAGGTAAATATTTCACATTGTGCAGATTCTACAACATCTGAGTAAATTTTACCAGTACATAATTGCACTCACTGTTAAAATCACATTCCTGACTTACAGTCTTACAGAATTGAACTTCACTCTGAAATTGTCTATTAAATTAAAGAGCCTTTTAGTATTAACTTCTTTTTTTTCAACTTACATACTTTACAGATCATGATCAGTCAACCTTCTAACCTTCTTATTGTTGAGATAATTAGATTCTGTTTCGTTAGTCTCTTACTACAAGGTGGGCTTTCCAGACTATGATTCATCCTTGCAAGGCTTTTCTCAACCTTCGCCACTTATCAAAATCCTTTTAAAAGTGTAAACTCTGGAATAGGATATGGAATTGTCACTAGAGTCATATTAATGCAGTATTTTACTTGGAACTCTCATTTTTCTTTTCACATTTGGTCTTGGCCTCTATGTGAGCTGGGAACTCATGCTCCTGGGTACTAATCATGACTTTGACATTTTTTTCCCTGATTTACAAAAATGCATTCTCTCATCTTAAAATGTGACGTATGTTCTCAGTTTTAATGCAAATATCATTCTATAAAGGGATCGATTTACAATGCGTAGATGTTTCCTAACATTTATGGAATACTGGTCGTCATTGATATTTTTCACTATGGGTAGCATTTGCAAACTTTTACTGCAATTATTTAATGTTTACATTGAGATCATTAATAAGATCTTACGTGCTTAGACTTTGCTGATTTTTTGAACAAGAAAAGGAGAATAATAATGAAAAAAGCTAATTGTTGTGTGAGGACCCTCTGTCAGCTATCGATGTGCTTGTTTGAACTGGAAACTGACTCCTTGCCTACCCTCTCTTTGCATTCATGATCACTCAAGACAAGGTTCTTGCTTTTATCTGAAACTAGATCTAATTAAGGAGTCAAACTCCTGATCAATATCTGACAACAGCACAAAAGAAGCATTTCTATAGCTTAGTGTCTTTAATCTTCAAAATAGCACTCAGACACAAATAAGTTAATAATGAGATTAATTTAAAGGTTATTTTCATTTTGCATGTATGGAAACATGTAAAAAGGATATACAACATATTTCTGTGCAATCTATTCTGGACAG